AGCCTGGAACATAATTAGATTCATATGTCTGTAAAGTATAATTCGTATTTCACTTCTTTAATAACAATTTTTAAAACAATATTAATGCTTCTTGTTAAATATTTATTAAACAATTTATAATTTTCTTTTTTAGTAATATCTACATCTTAAAAACTATATATTAATAACTTTTTTTTAAAAAAAATAAAAAAAAAAGAGCTGTGATGCCATTATCTCTAAGTTTCCAACTCAAACTTTGAAAATCTTATATTTCTTCCCTTTGATTTTTTTTACGATCCATTATACGCAGTGATAGAGCTGGTTACCAAATAGAATTTTGATTATTCTCGAATTTACTTAAAATTTCTCTAAATTTTAATATAAGTACTTGCGGAAAACAGAATTATTAGCAAATTTTTGTTATTTTTTTTAAATTTATTTTTATCCAATAATTTGTTATATTAATAAACACCTTTAAATATTCATTTGAACTACTTAAAATATTTAAGGCGATATATTTTAATGATAGTTTCGTCCATTAAATCAATGTATTAATAAGGCGGCGCAAAGTTATAAATTCGGTTTTCATATCACACATATCACAATTTGTCTTTTTTTTTGACCCAGCCGTCGCCCGGGATTTTATTTTTACAGCTGTTTTCATATTATTCGGGACAAAGTAAAATTTTGAACTTGACATCCAGTCCGGTTTTTCGGATGAGGCAAAAAAAAAACTAAGTCCTTCAGATAAATATAGACAGCGGCGGTGAAGCATTATAAATAAACCATTTCTAGAAAAAAAAAATTTATGGTAATTTAAATAATCAAATTTACTTCATGCTTCGTATTCTATTCACATCCCTAAAAATGAAAAAATGATATTAGTGTCATTTCAAACAAATAAACATCATCAAACCACCCGTTCTAAATTATAGTACTAAGTCAATGGATCGAAGTCGCATCTAAAAATACATCATCATTATTGAATATTGTTTCAAACGCAATTACCAAAGATAAGAAATTAAACTTACCGAAATCGTTTTAATGTTTTTTTGAATATATCATATCAAGTCCAATATTTCCCAAGTAACTTGTAATGAAATATAGTAAACGAAACATAGAATCGAAACATAGTATAATGCTCTCTCTTCATCTCATTTTCGACTCCCATTGTACCTTTTCATCACCGTTCCATTTTTGTGGAATTTGGATATGTACGCAAATGAGGTATGCATTTGACTCTGAGCTTGGAATTTCGAGGTTCTTATTTGGCATAAACTTTCAGTGATTCAAGAAGATTTTTATCAATACGCAATATATTTATCATTTGCATACAATATTGATATCAATAGTTTATTTGCGTACAATTTTGAATATATCAAATATCGATTATTTATTTGAGCGTGATTAGCCAGTGATTAGCCGTACGATATTATAGATATTGTACGGTGTTGTATTTATATTGATTTACGTCACGAAATATCACACTAATTTTTCTTGCAACCTTCCCGCGGGAATATGTAAATTGGGTCTCCTCGAAAAGCTCTTTTGCAAGAATTAATGTCGTGTTCGCAGACGTGATCTTCTGGGTTTAAAGTACTTGATTTGATGCACATCTACCATTTGCAGACGAATGGGCAATGGGCTATTTATATCATTATATGTTGTAGTGATTTAACACCTTACGATTTGTCAAAATTTAATATAGAAGATTTCAAATACTACAGTAGTACTACAGTACTTAACAAAATGAATAGAATATATTCAGTTATACGTTGAAAATTTTACTATTATAATAACTGAATTACTGTAATATATACCAAGAATTTTACTTTTTGGAGTATTTTAATAGTAAATTATAAATGGGTTAGCTTGTGAGATAAACTATGGTTTTTTTTCATCTACCTATGATTGACAGTATTGACGATCTAACTTATTTATAATTTCGCTCTTTTTACGTTTCCTTTTCTAGATAGTCTTAATTAGTATTTTAACCAATTATATTCCTTAGAGATTATGAGGAGAGTGAATTTTAAATGGAAATCATTAAAAGAAATAAAGCGGTTTCAAAATTATTGAAATTGAGGAATATATTTATTTGCTCATATGTGAATAGAATATGCAAAATATCGAAAATAAATTTAAAATGGAATTTTATGAATTTAAAATTTGACGAATTAAATAAACTCAATGTCAATCGTGATTGGCCAAAACTGATGATAGAATTTCGTGCCAATCTATGACTGAGCCGGCCGGCAATTGAGAATGCAGCTATTAGCACCTGCACGCATTTGTATCCGAACTAAAAGTTGTGTTGAATGAATGTAATTATATACTATTTACTGTTAATTAAATATTTCAGTAACTAAATTTTGGAGATTTACACTTGATATATTACTGTATGTACCAATAAAATTTAACGAACGTAACAATAGGTCTATTAGAACTAATTAATGTACCTTGAGATTAATTATTAGCATATACCATGGAAACTTGAAATAGTATCCTGTTTATCATATTACAATAGTCAAATTAAATATTTACCTGCACGTTTTAACCCTAAGTATTTAATGCTCATGCTGTCTTTTAATCTCTTATTATACTTCAACTATATATTGTATTTTATACTTTCAATACTAATATATATATATAACTATCCAGTCAATATAATGTTCATTTTTGAATCATCCAACCTGGCCACTAGTTCATTTAATTCATTTAATTGTAAATCTGAAACTACATAAATATAAATGTAAAAATTAATAACTAAGAACGGATATAAAATAATAATTCAGCTACGATAAAACTTAAATATCTTACATATTGAATTTTCAATTTGAGTTCCTGAAGAGTTTTTTGGCTCACAATAAAGACTATTATATTTCATCGGTCGACTAATATAAATCGCTTTAGGATGAAGTATTGTTTCAGTAGAAGAAAGTTCACTTTCATCTTTATCTTTAACTGTCTCAATAAATTCTTTAGACATTGCTACATCTTTACAAACTGATTTTCTCTTAGAATGTAAAACTTTTTCGTGATCACTATGGAATCGCCAGTTTCTAATCACTTTGAGGATCTCTTTTGACGAAGGTCTTTCGTCCGGATTTGCACTAAGACATCGATTTACTAAATCAGTATAACATTTTGGTGTTCCTTTAGCTACTGTTGGTCTCAAACCATCGCATATTGCTAACGCAAGATTTTCATCATGTGGTATCTTTCCGTGAGGTGGCTTTCCAGTTGATACTTCTATCATAATAATACCAAAACTATAAATATCACTTTTAAAACTATATGGTTTTCCATTTAATATTTCAGGTGCTACATAAGGAAGAACTCCGCATATAGATGTAAAATTAGAAGAATCTGAATTATTAAATAATTGTGCGAGTCCTAAATCAGTAATTTTTGTTTCAATTCGTCCGTTATAATAGAACTGAAGTACATTTCCACTATGTAAATCCTTATGGATATAATTTCTATCATGAATAAATTCAAGTTCCACTATTATATTAACCAAGATATCTAATTTATCCTTCCATTTTAAAGTAGAATAATTTTGTTTAAGATAATCTCTTAAATTTCCATAATTTGCATATTCTAAAACCATCATAAATTCTTTTGTATCCGGATCTTTTGTTATACCATAAAGTTGCGTAATATGAAAATTAGCATAATTACATTTATCATGTATTCTTATCTAAATAAAAAAAAATCGTTCATTATAATAAATTAAAATTATTTGATAATTAATTAGAATAATAATAATAATACATTACTTCATTGATAAAAGCTCTAATATCTGGATTTTTAAGTTTTTTAAATGCAACTTCAATAGAACCAGCACGAGCCTTTTTTTTATCATATTTTGGTGGACCTTCCAACCACGTAGCAGAATAAATTTTTGAAAACCCTCCTTCTCCAATAGGTTTAATATTATTAAACTTATCATAAGGTATCCACTCTAAATTATCATAACAATGTAATGTTTGTTTTTGACTTTCAAGAATAAAGTTATCCATTTCCTCATTCCCAGTTGATTTTCCTTCTCTTATAAATCGGCCAGGGTCACATTTATTACACCATGCATATCCGGTATTTGGTCTTTTACAATCAGGACATACGCCACAATTTATTATATGTTCTCTCAAATTTCTCGATAAAATAACTTTTAGCTTATCCTTCGTTTTAAGAAATTTGAGAAAATTAGTTAACCCATACATAACAAAATGGTCAAAGAAATGAATTTTTTTTAAACGAAATTAAAAACTTTAGGAAAAATACAGTTCACCCTTCCTATAGCGAATCTTATATTCCATATAAAAATTATAATTTGTACTGAAAAATAAAAATTCTTATAATTTAAAAAGTTCATTTTTTAGCTTTAAAAAAAAATCTTAACCTTATTACGTACTTTTCATATGATCACCACATGGTTACAATGGTTACATCATCTGAATGAGGTCATTTGACAATTTTGTGGCACATCTGAAATGTGTGTCAGGTTGACGGCGCAGTGTGGCGCAGCGATTTTTCCAAAAAAAAAATTAAATTGCAATTTTTTTTATTTAAAATAAAACCTTTAAATTACTGCAATAGATGTATTTTCGTCCGCTCTGTAAATTTACTTAGAGTATATACGGGCGGTTTAGAAGGCCATTTTCGAGTTATTTAATAAAAACCATTTTTTTGACAAATCCAATTTTGGAAATGATCGGCAAAGACGATAAAATCAGTTGTTATATACTAAAGTCAAAATCTACGTCCAAAACCTCCTTCCGTTTATAAGTGAATTTTGTAAAACAGATGAAAATACATCTAATGTGTAAATTTGAAAGCATTACATTAAAAAGAAAATCTTCAACTTAGATTTTTTTGAATTACTGCGCCACACTGCGCCGTCAACCTGACACACATTTCAGACGTGCAATTTTGTGTCATGTCATTTAAAATATTGGTCAAATTTAGGTAGGCCAGAATTATGGATAAAAACAAATTAAGAAAAATTGATGTTCACTTTTAATGTTGTAATACTTATTTTATTAATAAAAATTAAAAATGTAAATTAAAAAAGTCAATTATTTTAATGTTGTATTACTAGTTGGTGCGGCAGTCCCAGGTTTAAGCAAGCTCCATATGTACCAATTCTGGTATGACTACGTAAAAGCGGTTTATGATGAAAAGGCTTTCCTTTGTTATATTTGTTATATGGACACTGATTCGTTCGTAGAAACTGAGAATATTTATGATGATATGATAAAAAATGCAGACCTCTTTGATTTTAATAATTATTCATGGTGACACCTGAGGTGAGGTGACAAATAGGAATCAGAACAAGTCGCTGAGATAAATATAAACAACGCACATGATCAGTGACAGGTAAATATCACACCTTTCCGAGGGTGGTGTGATAAAATCATCCCTGATGAATTTTTCACATATACCTTCAGTATTTTTTCGCAAATAAATTTTTTTTACTCTTGTCCTCACGTACGTCAGTTTCCACCAATAAAATTTCACAAAAATTACTATAAAAGCCGTTATATCTATCACGTTCTCTGTCTCGTTAAAGGAAATACAACTGCGAACGCTTTTGCCGTAGATATTGATAGGGAAAAGTTGGTTAGCCACCTCAAGGAGGCTACAAAAGAGAGTCAAAAGCCGTCTTTCGATAGCGTTCCCAACCAAAGACATTAAAGTTATGGAATGCGAAGATCACCTTGACGATCAGTTGAAGAATCTCAAACTCAATGAGACAATGACGATAAACAAAAAAAAATTGACAGTGAAATTAAAGTACGTGACACAAATTTAATAAAAGATTGATTGCGGAGATGAACAAAATTAATTCGCATTATACTGCGGAGATCGCATTGATCAGAATTTTTGTCGCAGAGGCGCAGGGAATTCTCGATCGGATTAATAACACTGAGCAATCTCTATGAAGGAAAAAGACGGTGTGAAGAAGTGCGGATAATTAATCAAAATGAGACGGAATCAATTACTTCATCCGTCAACTCTTCGTCCATTTGGACTTGTTTTAAACGCATTACCGATGGAATTATGACCGAAAAAAATTTAACTTTAGTTGAAGTACAGTATATAATAGGATAGCAAATGAAATAAGTGATTACGGTACGGGAAAGATTTGTATGCAAACCGTAAAAAATTTTTATCATAAGAATAATTCTCATTAGATAAGATTAGTGTGTGGGAATGAGTAGAGGAAAGGAACTGCTATTCTCGCTTAGCGAGAAGTCTAGAGGCCGGCAGTAGTATGAATTTCTCTTCATACTTTTATTCCTCCCTTTAAACGTCTACTACTCATTTTCATTTTTTATTAGTTATCCAATTACTTGAAAAAATAAATAAAACTTTCTTTACGCACGCGATTTTTTTTTATTTAAATACTAATATAAAAATATCATCACGAAAGATACTTAGAGGTCTATTAACTGACGCAAACGCTTTTCAATAAATTCCAATGTTATGGTTAAATATTTTTTCCACGAATTCCACGAATTCCAACATTCTGAATTCTCATAATTAATCAATAAAGTAAAAAATCCAATTAGATTATTAAACACGTTTTTTTAGAACATTAGCGAATATGAAAAATTCCCTGATTCTTAGAATACGTAGAATTCTGTGAATTTAAGATTTTTTTTTTTTTGAAGGTATAGTTATATAGAGAAACATGAGCAATTCGTTATTAACATCTTTCACTCATACTGTGCAGCTAAACTTAACTAGCTTCTACATTCTATTATATTATATGACGACATTCCACAACTCGGAAATATCCGCTATCAATAGACAAGGCGAGTAGTATTCATTTTGAAGTGGAAGGTAGTCAATTATACAAAGAAAAAGAATCTTCAACGACTGAAAACAATAGAAAATACGAACCTATAGCTAGGTGGAACTGATATTACACTTTATCTGTTTTGTTATTGCAAGTAGTAATTTTTAAGTCGTACGAGTGTGACTTCTCAGTTTCTTTTTTTAGGTCAGTTTCATTTTCACGTAGAAAATAGTATGAAAATCTTACGTCACGAAGAGTTACTGCGCTTTATCTGTGTAAGTAAAATAAAACCACTGATTAGTCAAATTGTATGACCACCTCGTAAGGTAAGACGATGGCTTATTATTGTTTTGGAAAAATTCTTGGTTATTTACTAACTATAACCTGTTCACTCCAGTTGATGAGTTTAACTTAATATAACAATTAAATTTTGACTATAAGCTACCAAAAGTTTATCAAGAGTCTATAGTCACGATGTATTCAGAAAGGTATATAAGAGATATATATACGTTCTATTTTCTAAAAAATACTTTCTATTAAAAATACTTTCTCTCGAATATTTTTATCATTACAGAAATATAATCGAAATGGTTGAATCGTACAATTGTTTACGTCTAGATAATGATTATGTTTTCCAGGTGGAAGTTTGCAAAAATGAAAACGACGAAATTTTTCGAAATTATTGATAAAAAAATTTCACTTGAAGAAATAGAAGTTGGACAGCTTGCAAGGCTTATCTCTCACGTAGGAAAGTTTAGAGATTCTGACGTACTGAATCTTTGGAAAGTTGATGTCGATGATAGTAAGCTTAACTCTAATTCTACTGAAGAGGATATTAAAAACCTTGGAGGTGAGATTATGAAAAGCAAATTTATAAAATATTTTCAAGATGGATATAAACCTAAGGAGGAAGAAAACATCAACATCGTTGCTGTCATTGCAACTACCGGTAAGATAATTTTTACCACTCGAAGAAGAACGAAATATCAATTTTGATCTGACATCATTTTTTTCTCACGCTAAAGCAGGTCCTTCACGAGGCATCATGCAAGGTACTGTATTTCTCGTTAAATAACTTTGAGTATCTATTGGTTTGGAACAATGTCAAAAAACTTTCTAACAAATCCCTTACATATTATTGATTCTAGGACCTGACTGGCACGATGCTTCTTCTATCTACGAGTGGATACAACAATTCACACTGAACCGTGGTAATAGTCGAGTATGTCTTACTAGCTTTATCTTTTCAATTATGTGTTTTTTAGCTCCTCTGGCTAAAATCATATTGACTTTATCAGCTCGTCAAAACCTATGGTATAAACTTTGAACTTTATCAATGAGAAGACACAATCGAAACCCTATGGAACCTGATCAAGAAACGATATCCAAATCGTAATTATAAAGACAAAGGTCATCATTCAATCCCCGTCTTAGCCGGTGGACCTGGAACTGGAAAGAGCAGATTTCTTGATGAAATCAAAAGATTGCTTAGGCGTTGCATCAATAAATCTGATGAGAAAATCCGTAATGGTTTTGCAAACATGGTCGTATTAAACACCACTTATGGGAATGGATCCCCTGCTAATAGTTTTGATATAAGAATTATTAGTAACAGGTCAACAGAAATAATTAACGGCCAGAAATCTCTTGCGTTGCGTATTCTATTTGAGTACTTCCGACCGCAATACGAAATTAGCGAACTCACTTTTTCGCAATTTAACACACTATGTAATAAGTTAAAAGCTGTTGACTTTACTCTAGACACTGCTCTCCGAGTTATATACGCTGATTTTATTAAACAAAGGAAGCAAGAAACAAGTTCTTGTCCTCCACTAGTCCTGGTCCTTGGAATCGATGAGTTCAACAATTTGCACGATTTACAAAAAAATGCCTGTAAAGAACTTATAAAAACTATTGGAGGAGTTATGTGTAATTCACCTGCAAACATTTTTTCATTCCCATCCTAGCTGGAACGATTGAAGGGGCCATAACTGATTATATTTCAGGTTCTAAGCACGAACCAATTCTCCTCCCACTACGCTTACTTAATAATGATGATGCAATTAGCATTGGTAAGAGGATGAATCTGTTTGATGATGATTATGTCTGTCGGCATCCATATTTTCGAATCAGCATTAGTGATGTTGGAGGACATGTAAGAACATTGGAGTATTACTACAGTAATTTTGCGAAACAAAAAGATGACAAGATGAAACTAGGGACAGAAACAGGAGAGACAGGTCTTTATGATGTGAATATTGGAAAAGTCATGGAATACGTCAAACATAAGATTGTAAATAAATATCAAATTAATAGATATACAAGTTATTTGTCAGTACCTCTCGCAAAGGCCATATTGGGCCTTCCGGTTGGTAAATTGGATGCTGTTAAAAAAGAGAATGTGAAAGACCACGAAGGAAAACTTCAAACCTATGAGGAACTTGTTTCAATGGGACTTATTAACCTGGTTCCGGCAGGGACACTCTACCTTATTCGTTTACCTTACCTATGGGTATGTGCAATCGCTGAATATTCCACTGACCCTGATTTGTCGAATTGGAAATCCATGTTACAATATGATGATCCGATTAATTGGCAGAATTTTGAGGATTTTAATGCCAAATTCTTGGCATTGCACCTCGGTCTTTTTCGTTTACTAGGATATGAGAAAATTAATTTGAAGAAATTTTTAAAGGGTGCAGATTTCTCGCATAGTTTTCCGGATGTTGAAGTTGCCTTACCTGAAACTAGAAATATCAAATTGTACAAATTATTACATCGATATCCAGGTATTAAGTTTTGCTGATTTTCGTATAACATAAAAAGTCACATCAAATTCAAACCCAAATCTAATATAATTTAGTCGCTAAAACTTACAAGAATCAAGAAGCGAAATATGTAAACTTGACAAAAATGAGAAATGGTTATATCGACCTTGATTTACTGCAAAATGATGATATCAAGAAATACACTGGTTGTGTCTTTCTTAATGCTGCTGGAGCACCTTGAGATGTCTTTGGGCTTCTTAAATGTGGAACTTCAGAGTCTGAAATTTGTTGCGTAGCTCAGCAATTGAAACTAACTACTACTTCAAATGTTATCATCGATCAAAAGTTATTTGAAAATGAGTATAAAAAGGTAACAACATTGCTTTCTATATTAAGTACACATACGAATCGTCAAAATTGTTAGGCTAACAAATATCTTTCTTATGCAAAAGGTTATTAAAAATATGAAGGAAGTTGACACGAAAAATTGGGTTTTGTTATTCTTAACAAACGCAGACCAGAAAGACAACCTCTCTGTAAGTGATAGTCCGAATAGCGCATTAGTATCCATAGAAAAAATACAAGAATTTTATGGATATACATATGCAAGTCGAGCACAATTTGCGTCTGGTATGTTTGCAAAATTCAGAATTCCTTTTCTTTTATCATAATATCTGAAACTGCACTCTCTATTCTTTTACTTAGCAAACGATAAAATATACTTTAATTCAGCACCTGTTGAATCACTCAAACTTATTGGATTTAGCGATAACGAGAACGTTAATATACGTATTGAACGCAAAAAACGCCCCTTCACTAGTCTAAATGATATAAAAAAAAAGGCTTGACATTGAAGAAGATAAATTTAAGAAGTTAAAGCTTGATAGAGTTGAATTTAATTAAATAATCTCGAAAATCATCTATATTTAACAGTATTCCCTTTTCTGATGTACTGTAATTTAGAGAAAATTAAACTTATATGAATAATGACTGCAATACCGGTTTAAATTTTCTGAAACTTAATTATTGCTAATATAAAATTGAAGCTGACTCTAGCTAAATTAATTTAATAAAAAATAACGGAGTAGCAGACGTTTAAAGGAAGAAACATCTCGAGCCTTTTCAAGTAATAAACAAATGTATTTGTTACACTCTATTGTTGTTTAATGAAAAAAATTAGAAATTTAATAGTTTCTATTTCTTAAAACAAAACGTTAATAAATTCATAATTATGTAGTATGCATTTTGCACTTTCGAAACTCTTAAAAAGTAGTATTTATTTGTTACAGCATGTGATGGTAGTAGTTGATGTCTAAGAGAATCCTGTCCAGAATCTCGAAACTCGAAAAAAATAAAATGCACTGTTTCTTACTTGGCACAAAATCCCATGAGGCCATGATACTCCTGGTAAGTTACTATCAATATATCACTCTAATTCATTGTTTCAGCGTATCACAGACATTGTTTTGGTTTCACTAAGCCAGTAACAAATACTAGTGTCCATCATTTAAATCATTTATGACAGAAACATATGTGAAACAATCAGAGACAACCAACGAGTCCACAATTAATGCCTTGAGATAATATACGTACTGCCCAATTGCTGTTTGTTCTTTGTACTAAAAATACACTTCCAAAAAAATGGATATAATCCGAAAATGATAATATTTTTAAAAATGGGTTCTGAGCGTATTCATTGAATACCAAAAGTTATGGCTGGCATACAGTATTCTATTATATGTATAGCGGAATCTTTGTAATATTATCTATTACTTTTAGAGGGATTTCTTTTGAATTTTTACGTATCCTTTCATGTTATGGGTAAGTGTAACTTATTTTATTAAAAATACATCTTTTTCTCCAGGAAAATTAAAATAAATTATATTAAATATTTAAAAATTAAATAAACTATATATAGTGTATTTATGAAAAGTAATTATAACGAAAAATGCGAAAGTTTCGAGAGGAGAACAATACGAATGATGAATAAGTTTCTTTCGTTTCGGCTCTTCAGCTCTAGTCCTTCATTCTAGTCTACTTTTCTTGAAAGTTTTCTTCTCAATAAACTTTTGACTTTATAGGTTCTATCGTCCATTTGAACATGATATACTGATCAATAAAATAGACATTAAAATTAGTATATAATAATTTTCGCAAAAAAAAAATACGTACATACTGTACATAAAAAAATTTACTTACATTGTGGATTAAGAAAAGTCTCCCAACTAAATTAATTAATTTATTATTAAAAAGGAATTAATTTATTATTTAAAAGGAGGTAGTTTTTTACTTACTGATAAGAAATTTGTTCTGGTGTAAATCGCGACATTTCATTACTAATATAATTAGGATGTCCCCGCATCTTCATATGATATCTGATACGCTTATTACTCTGCAAGAAAAAAAATTATTTCGTTAATAATGAAGTATTTCTTTCTAAAAATAACGATAATGACAACATACTTCATCATCAAATAATGGCATTTTATTAACAATATATAGTTACTGTACACAAGGAAATAACATGCAATCTTTAGAAAATTGATTGAAATAAAAAAAAAAGCAAATTTTTTTTTTAAAAAAAAAATGAAAAAAAAAATGGGAAAAAATGAGGAAACATGGTATAAATAAATAAACATTTATATCCGAATTTAGTTAATTTAATTTAATTTAATTTATTTGTTTCAAGATAATTTCAAGTTCTGAATATGCCATTTTTGTTAAACATACAAAGAAATTTTTACAATTTAAAATTCTAAATTTTATTTCGATCATCCTAATGACGTTTTTCATTTTTGGCAATAATATCAAAGCAATAAGGTTAATAAGAGGATCAGAGGGCCCCGAAGGTAAGGTGGAAAAATTTTACAGGTTAGATATTGATTTGCGTACAATTTTAGCCATAGTCAGATTATTAAAATGCGTGTTTTTAACAGGCTTTTTTTTTTAAATAGGGGGATCAATTGATTTATTAGGAACAAAAAGCAATATTATTATGATTACTTTGGCCAGAAGGATGAAATTGAAAAATGATAATATTTTTTTATATATTCATTGTATGAAATATTTTAATATGTACATTTTTACGTATAAAATTTTACAAAGTTCAAATTACTATAACAGATAATATTTAATTTATTATGGGCGATCAATAAAACAAATAAAACAATGGAACAATGGGCAAATGGGCAAATGGGCAAATAACATCATGATCAGATTAATTTGTGCATTATGATTTTCTCAAGTAAGGAGGCAATTTGCGTACTAAACTTATATTAATAAAAAATTTGAAAGTCACCTTACATCCGTCAATATTTCACACTCGTCAGGTCCGCTTAGAATAAAGCCAAATCATGTAGATCGCTTCCATTTGTGGATAATACTGACCAGCATTACATAGTGCCGGCCCTGAAGAAATGCGTAGAGCTTATAGTAAATGTGTGCTGATCTCCTTGACCTATATATGGGTCATCATTCAATCAATCATTCATTACATTTTGAAAATATGTCCATCCATTATATGATGATCATCTTTAAAAAATAATTAAAAAAATGATTCCAAATTTGGAAATTTATGAAAGACAATAATTTTAAGATCAATTGCGTAACAAACATTTACTCTTAGCTTTATTAAGTGAAATACGAGTGTGAGAACAATGTTCTCATTTTATTGAAAAGACGACCCCCTTTTTTTTACCAATCATTAATTGAGAATACTGGCAAATGCTCCTTTTTTTTTGATTGGTTATAAATTAATGCATATTGTAATCATATAACGTAATATAAAAAAAAATTATAATTAATTTGGCGGTGATTGGTACTATCATTTTAAAATGATTTGAAAAGTCTTCGCTTCCATTTAAAATCCTTGCGTTCAAATGTTAATCGATCCAAATGATCCAAATCCAATATCATTGATTTTATTTTATTGTAAAAAAAAAATAAGGATTTTGTATCACAAATAATACATATAAGAGTAAAGAACGTATTATCAGGGTTCGTAATATTAATACATCTAAGATTAAAATGCTTGCAATAAAAGTTTTCAAAATTAAAATCCAAGTATTAGTATAATCTGACATTTTAATATCTTAAAAAGTAATTTTACATTTCATGATTGGCTGGATTAGTGTGTTAATGTTTCGGTTCGGTCTGAATATAAAGTTGAACTGTAGCGTACTGAATCGACTTGAACACACCGTGCAAGTCAAACCAAAACCAAACCTAATCGGACCTACAAATCAATAATAACTTATTATTAGATATTACATTGTTATTTTGTTATTAATTTTATTTATTATTAAATGCATTATTATTATAACGTGCGTGAAAATTCCTAATCAATAATACCTACAATCCTGAGTCCAACAATTTTTTTTTTACATCTAAATCTCTGTTAAGAGCAAAAGTTGATTCATATTGGACAGAGATCTTCCAAACTTCAAGATTATATTTAATCTTAAGTGGAGTATTCACTCTTATAACTAAATCTAGAGTATCACGCAACAAGCAATATAATATAGAGATTACGGTACTTTTACTTACCGTAAAATTTGTATCCGATAATTTTCCTCCGAGTTGTCGGGTTGAATTTTGATGGTGAATCATCCACAGTAATAAGCATATAAAAATTAACTGCATTTACTGTACAGTCAAACTCTGATATATGTCGGGGCTCGGGATCCATATCATGAAAATCTTTGAAAAATATCATCATATCAAAATTATAACAACAGTTATATATTCTTTCATATATAGTAGTGGGAAGGTAAATTTTTATCATTATACAGTATTGAGTTTTTAAAATAGATCGGTATCATCGGGAATTTTTTTTAGGGGATAAATATCAATAATTATCACTTAAATCGATGATCAACGAATTACGATTATCTGTGGTTAAATGCAGACAATTTATAATCATCAATAATAATCTCAAAGTTAAATAAGTTAAATGCAGACAATTTGCAATATTGATAATTACCGTAATTAATTATCATGTTAATTAACGATATTGATAATAATCATAATTAATTATCATGATAATTGTTGATAATTAATCATGATAGTTATTTTTTTATACATAATTTTATAATACAATTATTGCTAAATATTAATATAAAATTAAGGAAATTCGTGCAAACTATCCTGCTTATTTACTTTTAACAATAATTATAATTACCAATAGGATCATGCAGATTTTCATAGACTGATATTTTTATTAGGCATAGCAATAACACATGATTGATATAATAAAGTGGAGTAAAAAAATATGATGTAAATAAATATTTTGTAGGAAAAGTTTTAAAAATAGCATAAAAATGAAATTTATAGAAAGTTAAATAAAACTTATTTATGATGTTATTAATTAATGCATGATTAAAAACGTCAGAACGATAACACACTTATTGGATGTGGGGCTGTGACCGAACCGATATAGCTACTCCCCCATCCAATAACTACTTATTATTGCAAACTATCATGATGATTAATTATGATAATTATCAATATCGTAAATTGTCTGCATTTAACCACATATAATTGATTTATTTAGTGATAAAATGTGATAAATTTCAATAAAATTATAATTATTTAAAAAATCCTGATATTTTCAAAAAAAAAAAATTAAAATATGATAAGATCTTAGACTAGAATTGAACTAGCCAAAGCATAGATATGCTCTCCACCAGGATAGATTTAAAAAAAAATATCTGTTTGCTTAATCTTTTAAACACATAGGAGAAAGAAAAGAAACAGAAAAAGAAGAGAAACACCTTAAAGTATGGAAGAACCTAACTAGAGCTATGACCTCAAACACCAATCGGCAAACTCAGAGGGATGCTATGGCTGACCAGCCGGGAGACAGGGGCATATGCTATGGGTTTATCACGTTTCCAATAAACCAAGGTCGTCTACAGTCACATTATGTATAT